AGTACATCTTACAACACATTATTTGGACAGTCAATTTTCAAAAATTTTATATGTTCTCAGGCCATCCTAAGAATTTTACTAAAATTGCATCTTATAACAAAGTTTGGAGGTGCATCTTATTTTGATTATTTAAGGTTACAACTTTATGCAAACCACACCCTTTGATAAATATTAAATATCCCTCAAAAACTCCAATTCTACATCTAGTAAATCTAATGTAGAGGCCAAATCCCTACAGACTTACTACTTTGTTTTTTCGGAAAAGGGGCTAAGGTTGTGGTGGTAGGGGCCTGTCTTCCCCACTCAATTACCAAAAAAAAAAAAAGTGAATCCAAAACTCTAAGGGAGCTATATACTATAAGACCATTTAATTTTAGTATAAGGAGGATATGATCATATCATTGGATATAAAATCCGACACTATTGAAATGCGTAATAATATTTAAGAAAATTTGTTTTAGACTTCATGCCCAATCAATTCCACATTCCCAACTACTTGATTTCACATCTCATAGTCAATAAGGATTATGAACCCTCATCAAAGTTAAATAGTCTTGTTATATAAAAAACCATCAAGAACAACTATTTATCTATAAAAAAAGAAAAAGAGCGGCCATTATACAGGTTATGGGTTAGTGTTTGATAATGGTGAAAACTTAAAGGAAAATGGTTTGCAATCCTATCAAAATAAGTAAATCCTCACCTCATACCTCATCAAAAAGTGCAATTCAATCATTAGAAAACATTTACAGCGATCATCTCGGGTCGAACATTATGGTTGTGAAAATAAATTAGGATTTCAAGCTCTAAAAATATATATATCTTAGAAACTAGTCTCCGACTTTTCCCTCTACAATAACTTTCCCTAGAAACAGTACGAACTGAGGAAATCAAAACTCATTTTAGGACTCGGTTTCTATGCAGTCAAGCCCACATATGTAGAAATACAAGTTTTTGAATAAATCTATTTTTGATATGGATTTTAAGACTTAATTTTGAAAGACATATAATATCTAATATGGAAATCATGAATAACTAAAAAATAAATAAATTTTAAAAACTAGAAATAATAATTGGGTGTGGTTTCTATAAGGTTGCAACCTTAAACAATCCAATTAAGGAGCACCTACAAATTTTTTTATAACATATAATTTTGACGTAAAATATTTTTAAGATTATCTCAAAATCTATTATTATACTTAATTATAACTTTTTAAACTCCAAAAATAGTTAAAATCAAGTAGATCTATAAACATATGAAAATATTGAAAATGGACGGTTTAGATAATATGTTATAAGATGCACCATTTATGAGACTCAAAATCCATTTACTTTTCATAGTCATACATCTCGATATCGAGATGATCAATTAGAGGGTTTTTCAACATTAAAACAATACTGTCCGAAGAATTTTTGAGGTGCATCCGAAGTTCTACATTTTAAAGTTGTAACCTCATATAAATTTTTTCCATAATAATTATAGTAAGGAAACATTTGGACTTTTAGTTTCCATTGTTTTAGATGAAATACCTACTTGCGTCCATTTTTAAGATGGAAACATTTGGACTTTTAGTTTCCATTGTTTTCGATGAAATACCTACTTGCGTCCATTGTTTAGATGGATGCTTTACACTTTCTAGATCGCATTTTGTAGAATTGCGGTCCAGCCCGTATGAAACCATCTTCCTCATTTTATCCAAATTTACTGTTTCTTAGAGCGAAGTTGTTGCACACGGTGACCCTCAAGCGAGCCCTAACCCTACCATTGCGCTCCCGAAGCTCAACCATCTCAACCTACCATTGCCGCTCGGCTCAACGAAGCTGAACCCTGCAACTTCTTTCCTCCTCGCCCAAAGTTCACTCTCTCCTTGTCGTTCTCGCCATCCAGGAGCCCTACTCTCTCGCACTGGACAGAGGTACCGGGTACGCCCATCCTTCTCTCAATCTCTCTGTTCGTCTTGGTCTTTTTGTTTCTCTCTCTAGAATCTCTGAGTCTGGCTTTTCTCAGCCGCTTTTTGTGTTCTCTCTAGATATTATTGAATTTTCAGATGGTTTTGAGTCTCTCTCTATAACTTTGAGATGATTTTGGTCTATCTCTCGACATTGTGGTTGGAGGTTTCATTGGTCTCTCTCTAGAACTTTAAGGGGGTTTTTCTGTTAACGGTGGTTTTGCTATAGATAATACCCAAATCTAATAGGGTTTATTTGCAAAAGATATTTTATGGAATATCAATACCGAACTTTAATAGGGTCAAGTTGGTTTATTCTACTCATTTAATGGGAGAATCATTTACAGGTTTGTTCTCTAGTTTCTTAGTTTTTTCTTTAAATTTTCTGCAATTTTTGGTCTTTTTACCATGAATGGCATAATTCTGAACTGTGATGTTTATTTATATTTTATCGCATAATTCTGGTGACTGAGTTAATATTTCGTACGCTGGAGAACTCCTTGTTTGTTTTTTATTCACTTATTTCTTTGCTATTTCTGGGGTTTAGTCATCTGTTTATTGTTTGATTGCTTTGCTATTTCTGTAATTTTTCACATCTTAGGATTCTTCCATGAATATTTTATTCATTTTATCCATGATTTATTCACCATTAGTGTTCATTTTTTCTTATGCACTTTTTCAAAATTTCTGCCATGGATAAGTTGATCAGTCAATTATTTTGTTCCACAAATTTTATTGTTAATTTTTGCTATTGTTATGTAGAATTCCTATGGGTGGACTCTGTGGTTCAAATGAGTGGTGGAGTTTGTTCTCCTTTCATTTGGCTTTTTGGGAAAAATTATTGTGTTGATTTCATTCTTTGGATTAGAGCCTTTGTATTGTTTTGGCCGAGTTTATTCTTGGTGTTTTGGTTGAATTCATTCTCATTGACTTACGTCGGATTAAGGAATTTTCTTGAGTAATTCATTCAGGTAATTGTGTGTAATGTCTAGCTAATTTCAAAGTTAATTTCTGTTTCTATTGAATACATGGGTTTCCACTCCTTTTTTGTTAATTTTTGAATTTTGGCATGTAGTTTTTATGTAATTCTCTATTGAGCTTCCTGAGATTATTAGTGCGATCTCTGCCTGTCTCTCTCATCAGAATTTTTGCTACCTCTTATGAGTTCACTGACTCTCATTTCATCTTTAAGTGCAATTGAAAGTAAGAGTTGTGCTTCTAATTGTGGATATGTTCTGTATGTTTTTTGGGATCTAAATATTCAATGAGCAAGCATTGCGCAATATATGAACAAATTTCAATCTCAACCATTACATTTTATATGATATGCATTTGATGATTTGTAGAAAGAAAATCATATTCAAAATATGCATTTAGCAAATCAAATCAATGAAATATGTAATGAATGATTAAGATAGACAGTCTCAAGTTTTCATAATACCAAACAGGTGGAAAATAACACCACCATTATTTATCAAACAGGATTCCTAGCTTTCAGGCTACCAATTTTCACTTTCCTCCAAATTCTTGGAAATTCGCAGCCACGATATTCCTGGGGAAATTGTAAAGAAAGTTATCAAATGCATTTTTGTTTAATCAGTGCATTTTCATTGGTGATGCTTTTATGTGTTTCTTTTTCTTGTTGCACTGTGCCATGGCCAAGAGATCTATACTTTTTTATGTTCTCCTTTTCCTTGGTGATTATTTAATTGATTTTTTTTCTTTTATGATATTGTATGGCTTCTTAATTTCTTTTTTTGGAAAATTTAAAGCTGAGGAAATTTTTTTTTTTTTTCAAATAATTATTATTATTGAGTCTGGAAATTTGTGATAGTAGAAAAATCAGAACCCCAACAAGAGGATGTGAATTTTTTAATATGGCTACAAAATCAGTGTGGATGAACTTGCAACTTAGGCTGAATTCACAAAAAAGGTGGACCATTAAATGTATTTTTAGATTGAATTTTCAGTATTGTATTACCAGGAGATATCATGGATATTACTCCAGGATGTAGTGAACGTATTTTTAACTTGGATTTGCTATGGTCTAGAAAGTGGTTGGAGTATGCTTTTCAGGTAGTACTATTACCATGTGATATGTTTAAGTGATTATTAATCTCTGGTGTGTCAGTTCTTTTCCATTTGATGGTTCTTAATTTTTTATCGAATTGAGGGTACAGAGAATCCCAATTTATCCCTTTTTACATATTCATTAACTTAACCTTTCAAATGTAAGATTATCATTAATCTTACATACCAAATTACCAACATACCATACTCCAAGTTCACAAAAAAAAAAAGGCGTCGAGAAGAGAATTTTGATAATCCATATTGTTAAAACAGTAAACTGTAAAACCATACAAGTGTAGGATATGAAAGTCAAAACTCAACACAACAAAAATATACAGAAATTTAGAAAGTATACATTTTAATAAAAGTCAACACTCATGACTCAACACAATAGCTAGCATACTCAACACTCAGCACCAAGAGGCAAGAGTCTTCAGTCATTGTCATCATCTTCATCAGAGGGAATATCAATAGGGCAAACCTCATCATATGCATCAGAATCGAGGCCATCATCATCAGAGTCATCTCCCGCTTCAATATAACGCTTGTCCTCTTATGTTTCTTCTGAATCTGCCTCTTCCTCCTCCTCTTCTTCTACCTTCCTCTTACTAGTATGTGCAGTATGTGCAGATGAGGCCTTAGGAGTCTTGGCTGCTCTACCATTTTCTTTGTGCTTCTCTAAACTCAAATTTTGTATAATGTCCTCTTTGGTAGCCTCAAGAACATTTTTACGCGGGGCAACATCCCCCTTAATACGGCAAGGTGTTTTTTAAATCGGTAAATGCCCCCATTAGTATCATTTCCACAATAATTACATTTAATACGATTTTTATCACTTGGATTCGGGTTGTAACCATACTTCCAACCCAGATTACCACTCCGACTAGACCCTGGAGAAGATACTTCCATAGAACAAGGCTTCTTTTCATCCTTTTCTGGTTCTTCAAAATTCAGAAAATGTCTAATCTCATCCCGAACTGCTTCAGGAACCTTTGTACAAGAAGTAACATTACCTCTAACACGAGCAAGGTGTTTTTTGAATCGGCTAATACCCCCATTGGTATCTTTTTCAAAAAAAATTACACTTTATACAATTTTTATCATTTGGTTTTGGGTTGTACCCATACTTCTAACCGGATCACTTCTTCTAGAAGTAGCAGAAATAAAAATAGATCTATGACAAGGATTTTGTTCTTGTTTTTGTTTAACATAACTTATAAATTGCTTAATCTCCCCTCTGATAGCTTCAAGAATATTTTTACAAGGGGCAACATCCCCTTTAATACCGGCAAGATGTTTATTAAACCGGTCTATGCTTTTTTTTATATTTTTTTCTCAAAAATTGCATTTAAAGCAATTTTTGTCATTTGGATTCGGATTGTATCCATATTTCCAACCGGATCTCCGCTCTTACTAACTCCTGAAGAAGACATCTCAAAATAAAACAAGCAATCTAAAAAATGCACTTACTTTGGTTGCTCGAACTTCAAACTTTGGTAAACACTTCGATGATTCAATTCAATGAAATATAGTTTTTTGGACGTTTCTTTCTCTCTAAAAGGGGGTCTTGTGGGTTTCGGTTTCAAATGAACCTAAAACCCATCATTCTAAACTTTTATATCTTGACAAAAACGAAAAACAAAAAAACAGTACTTTTCCGCCTCTGGGTGAGGCACAGGCCCTGGGAGGTCGCCTAGGCAGGTTCCGTACTGCCTAGGTGCCAAGTGACCACCGCCTAGTTTGGCCGCCTAGGCCTGGGCGATGCGCTCAAGCCTTTTGGACTGCCTAGGCGGCCGCGTAGGCGCTGGGCGGTCTGTTTTTTTGAACTATGTCATTAATCCTTCTCTATAAACTTTATACATTTAGTTGTCTAAATTTATATTTGTTATATTCCTTTCATATCATATCCCATAGTTGCAACATGTTAGAAAAGATAATCTTACCCATATTTATGTCCTGAATTTTGGAAAAAGCTGAGGTGTATCTCTGCACCTTGTATCTTTACACACTAAGAAAGTCATAAGATCAACTAACATGAGAGGGAATAAAAGAGTTTCAAATGTGTTTTTCCAGGTATCCGACTTAGATCTACTCTACAGTCCTCTGGGTACTCACCATCCTCTATGTTCATATCCTCAGAGTTGAAGGTTTCCTGTTTTGGGTAAGAAGAGGCTCCTTCATCTAGACTACTCTCACCTACATTACACGCTCTCGCTTCCCCTTCTTTTTGAACAACTTTGTTAGAGTCAGAATCACTTTCCTCACCATTTACTGGATTAGTTAGAGAATGGCACCTATCTTTTCATTCACCAATCTCAACTTAGGTGAGAGAATGGCACCCGTTGTCTCCTTCCCCACCTGCAAGTTTAGTGAGAGACACACATCCTTCACTTTGCTCACCAAGTTCAAGTTTGGTGATAGAATCATGCCCTTCAAAGGTGAAAACCATCTAAACTAACAAGAGAAGTGTCACTATTGCACCCTTCAAAGGGAGTTCTCGAGCCTTCATCCCATATTGCGGACTGAGCATTGATTGTGAACACTTCAGTGTCATAAATAAGGCTAACTTCTGGCTTTTCAACCAACCCTCTCGAACTGTGTCTGTCCTGCATTTTATTATCAGAGGCATTTTGCTTCTGCAATTCCTGCCCTCATCCATGATACATTAGTTTCCCTTCCCATTACCTGTTTGATTATTGTCCATTTGTAGTCTTCTCTCGTGACTCTCAAAAGAAACAGCAGAAACCTTTCCCTTTGTTTTTTCTGTCTGCTTTGAATAAAGTGCCATTGCTCTCTGAAAGCAGAAATGAATAATTTCACAATATATCTGTTTTTATTTATTCCTTATTCTAATAAAAGGAAAAAAAAATGGTTCCAATCCAACTCTTGGAGTGCCAATTATAAGACGAGCTCACCTGAAATATATCATCTGACATTGGACATAAGAATGGTTGCTTCAGACGATGGATGTGGCTCTCTGTTCTGGGCTTTGAAGTCACCTGTCATTCATAGAGGAATGACATATGAACTCAAGATCTATGTAGAAACAGCAAGCAATAGTTTATCAAACAGGATATATCAGTTTCGATAGTTGATGTCAAAACTGGCTATCATTCACATAACAAAATTTGGATTTCTTTCCTTTTGTTGCTGAGCTGGGTTCAAAGGCCACCTCAAGGTCACCACATTATGCTAGGTTGGCATTAGGGAATCTCTCAGAATCTCAGATTCAAACTTTCTAGAATTGGGAGAAGAGAACTGTTGGGTCTGTGCTTGCAAAATTCTAACAAAGCATCACCCCAAGAGAATAAATAAATATAGTAAATGCATGCAGAGTAGAATATATGGACAAATCCCAAAGGCTTTTGTCATCTCCCATCAAATTTAATTTCAAAATATGCAAAATAATTTCTTAAAAATCTCAGCATCCCATAATTTTTGGCGGGAAAAAACCTTTTTCCCACTCCTGAAATGTTTCAGGAGTAGTAGTTAAGTTTTCGATAAGAAATCACTTTTACTGTCTACCAAAATTTAGGGCTTCCGTGAGACTTGCTGAGTCCTATAAATGATGCTATATCATTTCAGAGAAAAATTGCCCAGGTACAGTTAAATCGCCACTGTCCATCATCAGGAACATACAGTGGATGCCGCAGCAGTGTTCAATGCACTACTGCTTTCTCAAAATAAATAAAAAAAAATAAAAAATAAAAAAATCTTGAAGAAACCGTAGTTTTGGATCAAAGCAATTTGGGAATTGGAGGGGGGATGGTGATGGCCAAAAGATCGATATGGTAGGGAGTACCATCCGTATAATGCATGTTTTGGGGATTTCGATCCGACCTTTTGGGTAACTTGATCCCAACCTGTGGGATCTTGCTCCCAACCTTTTGAGCTTTCAAGAAATTAAGAACATATTGTTTAGTTTTACAATTTCCATTGAGAGCCAGAGCTAAATAACATAATATTAAGAAATAGAACTATTTTAGTACCAAAACTATTTAGTTTTTGTAAAATTAAACAGGTTCATCTTCAACAGTTTGGGATTTCTCCGAACCTTTCAATATCTCAATCCCTAACAGTGGGGATCGATATCCAAAATTTAGAAATGAGGTCCCTTGAAGATCCCTCTCTTGGAGCGTTGGAGTGAGATTTCGGAATGGATTCGCCTGTGTTAGGCATTGCCAATTACTATGGAAGAAATTAGCATAATGGAGAGAAGATGCCTATAGTTGAAATTCAACTTATGATATTTTCATATATAAGTGTGTATAAATGTGATCACCAAAGGGATTGAGCCCCTTTAGCTTGGTTGCTTGTGCCTGCAGTGTCCCCGGTTCTTTTTTTTTTTTGGGGATGTTTTAGTTGGAGTTTTAATAGTCAACCCCGAATAGTTGGGATAAGGTTCGGATAATGATGATGTTTTAATTGAAGTTTTGTGGCGTATGTTATAATGCAAAATCCTTTTTGGGGGTATATTTATAGGAAGCTTTTTGGGTATGTAATAGTACAAATCTCTTGAGAAAATGCCCCACCTCGGAAATTTTCTTGCTCATATGTTCTAACCATCAATCTCATATTCAAAATGAGACTGGATGGGGTCTTTGTTTTAAGGAAACATCTGCTGTGAAGATTGATAGCTTGTTATTCATTTGCAAGAGTTACTGAATTAGCTAGCTCTACCCCAAACTGGCTTCTTTTTAGAGCAGATCATGTGCAAAGCTTGTTGGTTGAGCTACTTGGTAAAGAGCTTTTAGCTAGGTATGGGTCTTGGGGTTTGTTAATTGTTGTTAATTGTTCTGAAATGGGTTAATATGTGCAAAGACTTAGTGATATCATGGTTTTTCCTGACCATTGATGCTAATTTTCCCTCATTTACAAAGGAAGCTCATTAACTTGGTTCCTAATTTGGGTGCCACTTGCTGGTTTGTAACTTTTTGGACTTGTTTCTGGTTGTGTAATTATCAGTATAGAGTTTTGTGTGATTCATTTGAATTGCTGGTATGAATCTCAATGTTGGTTCATGTTTCTTTACTCTAAATCTCTCCACATGGAAAGTAATGGGTTGTGATTGTTGGCACTTTCTCATTGTTTTTAATCTTTTAATACCCTCTAGGACAGAATGGGCAACAAGAGGAAAGATGATGCAGATGAAGGTGCAAAAGAAGGCTCTAAGAAGAGAAAAGTTGCCCCCTCTATGATCAAGAACAAGGTTAAAAGATCAATAGTGTATGCCAAGCTCAAGCATGAGAAGAAGGTGGAGAAAAGAAAGAAGGCGAAGGCACGAGAAGTAGCAGAGAAAAGGGCTTTAGAACTCGGGGAAGAGGTAATTGATTAGTCATAATTTTTTTCTTTATTCTTTTTATCCAAGAGTTGGATTCATCATTGATGTAGATTAATTTTTCTACCATGTGTTTTATTATACATGGTTGAGTTTTTGGTGACTCATGGATTCTTGGATCTTTCTTCTTTTCAGCCACCAGCTAGGAAGATTCCTCGTACCATTGAGAACACCAGGGAATTTGATGAGACCGTTTGCAAGCCTGATGATGATGAGGTACGCTGGTGTAAATATTCAAAATGCTGTATGTTTCAATCAGGAAGTGTAACCGGGGGTTTATGTTTTCATTTATTCAGTAATTAATAAATCTTTTAGTGCCACCTTTCCAATTTTACCCTACTTTACTGTGTAATATATATTCTATTTGGAAAGTTATGTGGCTTATTGAAGTTTTGTGTGCCATTGTTTGAGTTGCATCTGAGTTTGTTGTCTTTGCCAGTAGGCAACCCAATTGCAGTTCATGCAAGACATCAATAAAAGAATCAATCGCTATTGCATTTGCCTAAATCTTTTTTCTTTTGACTATGGAAATTTGATGTGAGCACATAAACAATTGCTTCAAAAAAAAGAAAAAAGAAAAGAGAGAGAGTCTTGACACTGGTGCTTGAATGTGTTTATTTTGTTTCCTTTAAGTGTGCCTCATATATTGAAATGTTTCATTTCTCTCATTCTCATTAGTTGTACACTACCATAGTAAATTTTTGCACCTCACATTGTGGCGACATCTGTTCCTTTTCAATTTGCAGTTGTTTGTTGGTATTGATGCTGACGAGTTCAGTCCACTTTTCAAGCGAGAGTACACCTCAAAGATATTGATTACCACATCACGTTTTCATTCGACAGTATGTTTCTTAAAGTTGCCAAATGTCAGATAAGAATCTGTAGTATACAGTCTTAAAGAAGTGGCATGAAGTTGTTTCTTTTGTGTTTGATATGCAGAGAGGCCCTGCATTTATTGCTGAGCTATTATCAGTAATTCCAAATGCTCACTTTTACAAGAGAGGAACTTATGAGTTGAAGAAGGTGACTCCTATAGTCTGTTAACAATTATTGAATGTGGTGTGATCAATTGGGGAATATATGTTTACTTGTATTCATTACACAGATTGTAGAATATGCGAGGAACAAAGATTTCACATCTATCATTGTGGTCCATACAAATCGCAGGGAGCCAGGTGTTTATTTCTACATGCTAATTGAAGAGTTACTAGAACACCTAATTTTGCTTACCCATGTACTATGTGCAATTTTAGTTTGTTGTTCTATAGTTGGATATGAAAATTGTTTTGAGCTTGTCATTTTATGTTTACTGTTGAGGGGCTATTAATTTTGTAGTTTTTTCTTTCTTTTACAATGACCTTTTTCAACCTATGCTAGGGATGACGTTTCTTGCAACTTAACCATTCTTTTGGACCACTGCTAAAGGTATTTCTCCCTCTGTTTTTTCTTTTACATGCAGATGCACTTGTAATCATCGGTCTACCTGACGGGCCTACTGCACATTTCAAGCTCTCGAGGCTTGTTTTGCGAAAGGATATTAAAGTATGAACGCCTTGTTTGAAATGTTCCTTCAGATGTCCAGTGTTCATACCAACCCTTGAGCTAACTGTGGAAACATTGTACCTTTCTAAAGAAAAGCTTGTAGCATTTCAATTATCTTTGCCGTTTTTTCAGTTTCACTTTAAACCTAGTGGATGATTGTGTGGTAGGAAAATTGAATAGTCTCACAGTATGATGACTTTTGTCTTTTTTATTTTAGCTTGCTAGGCATTTGAATTATTTCCTTTTGTAGGCTTTAAAATTGAAGGTTAAAACGCTTTCACTCTTTTATATTTCTTCGTTCTGTTATTGGAAATGCAGAAGCATGGTAACCCGACAACTCATTATCCTGAACTGGTGTTAAACAACTTCACAACACGTTTGGGTCATCGAATTGGAAGGTAATTTTTTCTTATTCAAATTGCTACACTGTTTTTTTTGTTTTGTTCAGTTTCAGCTACCTTTCGTGGATGGAGTTCCCTAAGTTTTTGCATTTCTTTCTAATGTTTGATAATTAGGATGATTGCATCACTTTTCCCTCAAGATCCAAACTTCGTTGGTCGGCGAGTTGTAACCTTCCACAACCAGCGAGATTTTATATTCTTTCGTCATCATAGGTGAGCCCAGTTTGGAACTCGACTGTTTCTTCTTAATAGTATTCTTGAAGGGGATGAAAAGAAATATACATTATGTGGATATTGATCAAAGTGGAAAGACATTATTCTTTTAACTGATGAGTTACCATGCTTGTAGTGCATTGTAGTGAGCAAATGCAGAAATATCTTTCTACTGTCTGCTCTTTTCCTGTTCTTTTATCCAAGAGAAAAATTTGTTCTATGTCAGAAAGGTTTTACATGTAGAAGTAACAGAGTGAGCCAATGGGCGGGAAGTATTGTTGGAGGATCTGCAATACACTTCTGATTGCGTCTGTTAGCATCAAATGTTGACAATTTTCGGATCTGCAAACACTTGGATTTGGGTTATGCTTACTTGAGAAGACTTGGAGATATAAGTGGGTTGTGCTTTGTGATTCTTTTCATCTTTGAATTATGTGTTCGTTAATTGTTTTATCACAAGGGAAAAAAGAAGTGTTCATTTAGCTGACCCCAAATAGTTGGGATAAGGCTCGAATGGTGATAATGATGATGGTTAATGTCTTCCATCAGACTTACTTATGACAAGGTAAAAGACTTCTAGTATTAATCCAATTAGGTTTGGGGCATTGGTCGAATGTTGATTTGAGTGTTAGAGAAAATAGGGGCAACGGTGTTATATCCAGGGTTATTACTGATCTTTCCTTGAGTTATGATTCTTTCCCTTGCATGCTTAGTGCAGAATATTTGTTAACTTATTAATTTTCTTATAATTTGTTTGGCTAAATATCTTTTTTCCAATAGAAATTCAATGAAGCAGCTGGCCTAACCTCTGCTTACCCTGATCTCCATTCATCAATATTTTTAGCATTAAAAATGAAGGTGCAACTGCTTCATAACTAAAATTTTGTCATGAAGATCTTTCTAGTTATGATCAAGTTGGGGGGTGAACTTTTACACACAGTTGCTGTGAAATTCTTCCTATTACATTGCACATACACGTAGTTTCACATTTGATTTTCTGTGAATCTCACATCGTATTTTGTAAATTTAACATGATTTTTGTATTTTCGATCAATCAGGTATATTTTTGAAACCAAAGAAATAAAAGAAAGTTCATCAAAAACTAAGACAGAGAAGGATGAGAAAAGTTCATCGAAAAGTAAGACAGTGAAGGATAAGAAAAGTTCTCAGGAGAATGTTATTGTACGCCTTCAGGTACTGCTCAGAGAGGTTCTTTTTTACGAAATGATAGGCCTGCTTTTGGCAAGTATTTACTATGTTGTGTTGCATCAATATGTCCTAATACTGACTGCCTGTCAGAAACTTGTATTTACTGCCTATCAGAAACTTGTATTGAACTTAGCAGTCAGAAACTTGAGCTTGCCCTTTTCTATTGATTTCTCCTTTTCTCTTTGTTCTATTTTCTTGTATCGCTCAAAAAAAAAGAAAAAAAACTTATATTTAAATTAGTATCAACATTTTGTGTTGCTATGTAAGAGTTTCACATTTGTTTTGGCCAATTGAAAGGATATAAATTGAAATTTTCGAAAGCAAAATTTACACTAAAAAGCAGAATTTGTTTTACATTGCTCCTAGATTCAGTTGCTAATTTGTCTAGAAAGTGTGATTTCTTGCTCTTGGCTTGTCCTTGAGATTTACTAAATTGGTAACCCACAAGGTCAATTGCGAAAAGGACAGATTACCAGTTGAATTGGTGAGATCTTTCATTTGGGACCTTTTGCAAAAAGGTGAAAAGCATCCTAAGCCATGAGATGTGAGATCTGATAGTACTTAACGCAAAGTCCAAAATATTTCTTGGACTTTTGAATGTGATAATGATCAACCCTCAGCCACTCAATTCACATTTAATGGCTTGGGGAGTTGGGGTGTTTTTACCCTCTTGTACTTAAGGTAATAGTCTCATTGAATACTTCCCCTTGTCGTATTCAATGGTGTGGCAAAATATTTTTATTAAATTTCAATGGTGTATCAATGTCATAGTGCTTTGCAGGAGTGTGGTCCTCGTTTTACGTTGAAATTGATCAGTTTGCAACATGGAACCTTTGACACCAAAGGTGGAGAGTATGAATGGGTTCACAAGGTATGATATGATACCGTTTTTATATGATCAACTTGACTTCCCTTTTTGTTGCCACCTTATATTTGATATATACTAATTTACTTATGCTTTCTCTCTCCTTTCCCCTATATCAGCCGGAGATGGACACTAGCCGGAGACGATTCTTTTTATGAGTTTCGGCTTCTCCATTTAGCTGAATCTTGGTCATACGGAGGGATTACTACGCTGTTTTCACTCTGATGGAGCAAATTTTAGTCATACTGATAAACTTAGTCAAGGATTTTTCCATTTATCAGATATTGTAACTTATTTGAGGTTACATTGCTGTCAATTTTGGGGCCCAAAATGTTATTATTTTCCTATTATTGATCAAGGTTATGAATTTTTTTGGCGTGATATGGATTTCATAGTCTAGGTCTGTAATGAGTTGTAGAATGAGCGCAATTTAGGGCAGGATATTTTAAATGAGAGAAAATGACCCCCATCAAATGCACGGAGATTTTATTTGTTAGAGAGAGAAAGAGAGAGATTGGAAAGTTGCGCATACGTGAGTGGAATATTGTGTAAGAGAGAGTATTGGAATGTTGTGAGAGAGATTGGCATGTAGTGTGAGTGCGTGAGAGGGATTGGCATGTGTATAAGGGGAGAGAGATTGGCACGTTTTGTGTGTGGTTTATGTGAGAGTTTGGCATGTTGTGTGTGGGGGGAAGGGGTGCCACGCTGTGTGTGTTTGACAGAGAGAGGCATGTCTTTGAGAGAGATGTATGTTAGTGTGAGAGAGAGAGAGTGGCAGGCTAGTGTATGTGAGAGAGGCATGATAGTGTGAGTGAGAGGCATGTTAGTATGTTAGTTTGTGAGAGAGGGGTAATGATTTCATGCAACGGTTGTATAGTAATATGATGTAACAACTTTCAAAAATCATGTTATAATTATTTGTTAGATTCAAATTTTGAAATTTTTTTTTTTTTCATGAACAATCACAAAAAAGAAAAAATTGAAAATACAATTTAGAAAGTATTTTTTTAGTCCAATAAACATAGGCTGTTCATTTTGATGAGATGCTTAGATTTAGTCTTTAAAAGGATAGTTTCATTTTTAAGTTTTTTGGATGGTTTTATTATCATTAGATGAACAATGTGAAAAAAGAAAAAAATGATTTTGAGTTTATAAATATTAAGATCTTGAAATTTATCAAATGAATGGTTTAGATTCGTTTTTAAAGGGATTCACTTTGACGATATTTGAAATTCAAATTGAATTTTTTCTTTTTTAGATTGATTATTGAGATGAAGAGAGTGTGCAAAATTTTGGATCATACAAATACCTGTGAGAGAGAGGCACGTTAATGTGAGAGAGAGGCACGTTAGTGTGAGTGTGAGGCATGTTAGTTTGTAAGAGAGAGAGAGAAATTAAACATACCCAATAATACTAAAAAAAACACCAAAAAAGGCCACATCACAAATTATATATCAAAAATTCTCCCCAATAATACAAATTTTTTAGCAACCGGCAACAAAGCTAAACTAAAGAAAAGATAAACACCAAAATATCAATAAAAAATGGAAAAAAAAAAAATTCACTATTTTAAATTAAATTCTATATTTTTCATCTCTAATTCTCTAATAACCCTAACAACCTCACCAATCAACTCGCCTGGCTTCTCAATGTTCATGCCAACCATCTCACCCAGTACCCTCATTTTCTCTTTGACCCCCTCTTTCCGAAAAATATCCTCATCAAATCCAATTACACCCCTCTCGTTATCATTTTCTTCCCCCGAAATATTCTCACCAAATTCAATTATTCCCATCTCGTTCTCCACGGAACTCTCCTCTTCATTTCCAATTATTCCATTCTCATCCTTTGAGTTCCAGTCCCCTAAAGTAGCCGCATCAGATTTTGTGTCGGATTGCTCGCCGGAAAATTCAAAGTTCCCGGCATCATGGCCAGAATAATCGCCAGGAATGGTAAAAGAATACATTTTTTTGCCAGAAAACATGAACTCCTTACCTTTTTTACCTCTATCATCTCCGGAAATTTTCAGGCGCCCAGGCTTTTGGTTGGAGTCCTGGTTGGAAGTTTTGAGGTTCCCATAGTTTGGCCCAAAATCTTCAAAGGAGATTTTCGAGCCGCCACCGGAATCCTCGCCTGAAAATTTGAAGCTTCGAGGTTTTGGCCTGAAAAAACAGATGCTCTTATATCTGGTATCCCAATTCTCTTCAATTCCTTTGATGTTTGAGCTCGCTCTCATGGCTCTTAAATCCTCCATTTTTGCATTTTCAGGACATAAAACCTCCAGTTTTGTGGTATCACGGCTTAACTCCTTGGTCTTTGTAACGTCAGGGCTTAGCTTCTCCGATTCTAAACCATTAGATCTGGCTCTGCTAGCTCTGGTTTCATTAAAGGCCTGGAAAGCCATGGCTTGTAGCTCATGCAAGTTTTTAGCTTGGTAATCATTTTCATGGTGAAAAATGGTGCTAGAATGGAGTGAACTATCAATAAACAAATAGTTTTCAGGCATAGAGTTGCAGCAAATGCGATGAAAGGTTTGATCAGTGGATGAAGAAAATTCAAAGAAATTTTCTTCGATTTGCTTATCTGAAGCCATCTTCTCCGATAAGAACAATGAACTCAAAACTTAGAAAACAGAGCTAAAAATCGATTCTTCTTGGATAATGATATTAAAAACTCTCCTCAATCCAAGGAAATTTTATCGCCAAAAATGGCAGAAAATTTATAGCAAATTCAGTCAAAACACAGAGGCTTTTGAAATTCGGCTTTTAATGTAACAGAAAAATCAGGAAAAAAAAAACTCAAATAAATGAACGAAAATTACTGTCATTCCAAATCAAGAAAAAAAGAAGAAGAGAGAATGGCGCAGATTCATAGAGGATCAATGGTTCTAAGTACCAATTATCAGATTGAAATGAGGCAAAAAAACCTAATTATAGCCTGTGAAAATTGATGAATCAATAACAGAAATCCGGCTAATTTAATTAGGAATCCCAGAAAAATAAAGCCAGTGAGGAAGCAGCGAGATGCATAGAAACGAAACCCTGGAAAAGAAAGATTGAGTAGCGACCATTAATGGAGAAATCAGCTTAAAGTTGGGAAAACTCAGCTTAAAAAGTGGAGAGTTGAAGAAGAAGATCAAAGGTGGCCATGAATGGTGAGAAATCAGCTAAATTTGGGTAAAGGATCGGTTCAAAAAGTGGAGAGTTGCAGAGGAGACTGGAAAGTAATAGAGGGGGCCATTAATGGCGAGAAACTAGGTTCAATATAAGGAGGGAAAACAAAAAAACAGCTTAAAAATATGGAAAGATTAAGCTTGACTGTGGAGCAGAAATGCGGGCGCTCTACCAAGGAGTTACGATTTCAAGGACAAGTTAATGACAAAAAAGGTCTGGTATTTATAGAGAATGGCGAAGGTACCCCTAGTATGGGCTAATTTAGGGGTGGCAACGGGTCCGGGATCCAAATTCATCGGATTAGGATCCACTCCAATAATTAAAATATCTATGTATTTAATTATATTTAAATATATTTCCTATATTGGGATCAATAGTATTCGAGTTCAAGATTTAGACCCAAACCGGACCCATCAAGTCTAATCTTTGAACCCATACACAAACCCAGATTGGATCAACCCATCAGGTCGGATCCATTTTTTAGAAGTTCCCATCAATTTAGCTTTTTAATCAACGCGTGATTCACATTCTTAGAGAAAAATTGTTTGGTACAATAAGACGCACATTGTGTCCACTTTCACTGACCATTTAGAAAAATTTTGAAGACCATTCCTAAATATCAATTTCCGCTGTTTAATTACAATAAATAGTGCAAACTATACCTTAATTTCAATTTTTCAGTGCAACCTCACTATGAATGTGTCAAGAGACACAATCTATCGAGTGATTTCCTTTGTGAATAAAAAACCATGTCCTTATAAATCACTTTCGACGTGCTATCTTCCATGAAGATTTCCTTAAGTCTCTTTCACTTGCTGGACGGGATAGAGAGAAATTGGATCAGGAGATATTTTTGCGCAAAAGAAGCAAAATGGGCAGCAAACAAGAGTGAAAAAAAAACGAACTTTTTTGGGTGACAAAACCAAACATGATGGGGAGAGGGACCCTCTTTTTTTTTCTAATAAAATTATATATTTAACTTGGTGAGCT